GTCACCAAGCTGAGTGGTGCAGTTGACACACCTGAGGGATGGGATGCCATCCAGAGGCACCTGGACAAGCTTGAGAAGTGGGCCTGTGTGAACCTCATGAGGTTCAACAAGGCCAAGTGCAAGGTCCTGCACCTGGGTCAGGGCAATCCCTGGTATCAATACAGGCTGTGGGATGAAGGCATTGAGAGCAGCTCTGTTGAAAAGGACTTTGGGGTACTGGTGGATGGAAAGCTGGACCTGAGCCAGCAATGTGTGCTTGCAGCCCAGAAGGCCAACCATATCCTGGGGTGCATCACAAGCAGTGTGGCCCACAGGCTGAGGGAGGTGATTCCACCCCTCTACTCTGCTCTGGTGAGACCCCCACCTGGGGTAGTGTGTCTAGTTCTGGAGTCCCCAACACAAGAAAGACATGGACCTGTTGAAGCAAGTCCAGAGGAGGGTCACAAATATGATCAGAGGGCTGGAGCACCTTTCCTATGAGGAAAAGCTGAGACAGTTGGGATGGTTCAGCCTGGGCAAGAGAAGGCTCTGGGGAATCCTTACTGCAGCCTTCCCATACTTAAAGGAGGCCTATAAGAAAGATGGGGACAAACTTTTTAGCTGGGCCTTTAGCAATAGGACAAGGGGTAATGGTTTTAAAGCAAATGAGGGTAGGTTTAGACTAGATATAAAGAAACATTTTTTTATGATGAGGTTGGTGAAACACTGGCACAGGTTGCCCAGAGAGGTGGTAGAAGCCCCATCCCTGGAAACATTCAAGCTCAGGCTGGACAGGGCTCTGAGCAACCTGATCCAGTTGAAGATGTCCCGGCTCACTGCAGGGGAATTGGACTAGGTGACCTTTAAAGGTCCCTTCCAACCCAAACTACTCTATGATTCTATGAAACAGGTTTATTTCAGGAGCACTGTAATAAAGCCTCGGTTCAGTAAGGGAAACGGAGGTAACAATGGTAATAGAAAGGCACATCAAGCAATTGGGAGCAGAGGTCTGCCTCGTGTTGGCTGTGGCGGTGCTTTCCAGCACGCCATGGTGGGGCGAGGATGGGTGAGGCACTGGGCCAGCGTGGCACGCACCAGCCGGGTCCCTGCTCGGCAGAGGGGCTGTGGGAGCTGAACTCGCTCCGGGCTGGCAGCACAGGGCGGGCGGCTGCAGTACATGGGGTAGGGCAGGCAGCCCAGCTCTGCCAAAGGAGGAGAGCAGAGACCATCCCCAGACTGGTCTCATTTGCTTTTAGCACTTTGGCACGCAGGGTTGCTGGGAAGGGCTTAGGTCAATGGAAAAACAAAGACAAAATTGCAGGGTGGTCTGGGCTGAGAAGAAGAGAGAGGGATGGAGGAGAGCACCCAGTGGGGGTCTTTTGTGGTGTGTGCAACGGCAGCAGAGTCTGTCAGATGCTGCTGCGCCGGTACCTGGTCAGGGCTCCTGCCTGTTGGATAGGAAAGCAAGGCAGGAGGGTGGGAGGGGGTGCGGGGAATTTGCAAGAGGGATTTGCCAGAGGCTCTGATCAATCCTTTGGCACCACAGGCAATTTAAGCAATCTCTGCCCCAGGCATAACAAAGGAGAAATCAGAGGGTGGGGTGACGCAGCAGGGATGGGCAGGGACAATTAAGCCAGCTGCCATCAGAGAAACTTGCTGAACTACCACGGGGTGATGGTGGTGCCAGTATAGGACAAACTGCCGGTCAGCAGTGGGTCAGGGATTTGGGAGGGTGGAGACCCTCCCTGGGGGATGGCTATGAGGCAAGAGCAAGGGCCAGCGCAGAGATGGGCTGGGAGTGGGTGTGCTCTACGGTTCAGAGCAGCCCCAGACAGCCTCAGCCAGCTTGTGAAGAAGACACCAGAGGAGGCCTGAAGCCAAGAAAAGCAGCTCAGCTTTTCCCTGCAGAAAGGGTTAACTACCACCCCACCAAACACAGCTGCCTCCCCTGCTCAGACCATGGGATGGGGCAGGAAGGTGACTTGGAGAAAAAAAAGACACTGAAAGCTGCTGTTTCCTCATGATGCCATCTACTTCAGCCTAACACAACTGGGGATGAGGAATTATTTAAAAAGGGCACTGAAACCATCGGACTTTTCCTTGGCAACAACAAAAGTCAGGGGATGTTTCAGATAAAAGAGCGTTTCTATAATTAGGGTTGCACATAGGGTGACAAGAAACGTCACAGATCTCAGTCACAACTGGTCTTCCCTGCTGAGTCAATGACTTAGCACTAGTGAAGCCTTGGATAAGCTCCGGCTCTTTGATTTACAGGGCGTAGGTTGGTCAGGGACTGGCACATTTTTTCCTGACCTGTCTGGCTGCCAGGACACCTCAGCAGCAGGGCAGTGTTGCTTGACTGCACCTTATCAGGTCCTGCTACCCCACAGAAAACATCCAGCCAACCCAAACCCATTTACAGCACGGCCACGCACGTAGCTGTGCTGGCACACAAAGGACTACATACGCCCAATTTCTTCATTTAAGCTTTACCCACTTATCCAGGCTTAAAATAACAACAGACATGGAACTGATCTTCTAGAAAAATCCAACTCTCAGAATAAAAACCAGTGGTTGAAAACTTGTAAGCAGGAAATGAAAATACCATATAGAGAGCTACTGTCATATCCCTGTTTGGGGTTTAGCACTTTATCACAAAGAAAAACCACCCGTCCTCCATTTGAGGAAAACATACCCGCCTGAAGGTGTTTTCCAGGTTTATTGACATTCAGCATAGGGCTATTTCAGTTTGATTACCAAAAGTGGTGACATGATCAAGCATAATCATTAACTGATTTCCATTTATATTACACACAGAATCACAGAATCGTAGGGGTTGGAAGGGACCTCAGGAGATCATCTAGTCCAACCCCCCTGCCAAAGCAGGTTCCCTACAACAGGTTGCACAGGACTGCATCCAGGTAGGTTTTGAACATCTTCAGAGAGGGAGACTCCACAACCTCTCTGGGCACCCTGTTCCAGTGCTCTGTCACCCTCACAGTAAAGAAGTTTGTCTGGAACTTCCAGTGTTCCAGTTTTTGCCCGTTGCCCCATCACTGGGTACTACTGAAAAGAGCTGGGCCCCATCCATTTGTCCCCTGCACTTCAGGTATTTACAGACATTGATAAGATCCCCTCTCAGTCTTCTCTTCTCCAGGATATTCCCTATATGGTATATGATTCACAGCATCCCCTGGATGAAAGTACATAGCTTGAGTTGCTCTGTGAAACACAGTTCTGGAACAGAAGTAGCTGTGTCTTCACAGTCTGGGCCAGCAGAACACGAGGCCTAAGCTCTCTGCCCCTGGGCAGACTGAGACTGAGGGGTGATCCAGTGAGGTACAGCCTGAGCACTTACCTTCCTGACCCTAAGGCAGCTCCATTAAGTAAAGGTTTAAACCATTGCCACAGCAGGACATAGAGTCTGGAGATGGAGCCGTGATGAGGCCACCAGGAACACCTAAAGGCAAAGCTTTGTAGCACTTTTCACTTCTACTTGTGTTTTCAGTCTGCAGCGAGAACAATACAAGCACACGATATAGAGGTTTGTGTGTATTTTTTCCTCGAGCTTGCTGGCAGACACATTCAGAAGATTAGCAGCAATTTCTTTTCACAACAGCAATTAAAAAAGAAAATGTGCTGTGAAGGCAGGAAAGATCAGGAGTTTGCCAGTGGAAGAGAATAGATAAATGACAGGGCTCAGCTCAGGCCCTCATGCAGGGACAAAGCTGACTCTAGGTATTTTCTCTCTCCTGTTGCTTGTGCCTGCACCCTGTTAGGGTTCTACTAGTCACACATAAACCAGCCAACCCAAACCCACCGACAGCATAGACACACACAAAGCTGTGCTGGCACCTATAAAGAAAAGGCATGATACAATAGCAGATGCAAAGCTGCACCAAGAGTAATCTCTGCTCCTAGAATACCTGCTCATTGTTACGCCTCTTGAAAGAGTAGTTCCATGATACAAAAATGAGGAGTCACACTGGTGTTAAAAAAAGCGCAACTCTACCAAGGTCACTGTGTCCACCATATTTTTATGATGGCAAGAAGCAATCCAAACTAGGAAACACACACAGGACACCATAGCTAGGGTCTGGTACTACACCCACCTCTTTAACCTTCAGGATCCCCTGCTTTCAACAGCATACCCCTCCCACAAGCACACACTCAAGAGTTATATGTGTACCTCCCATTAGAGTATGGACAAATCACTCAGGGCATCAGTGCTCTAGCTGGGAACGAGGGGTGTGTATGGGCTACGTGCACTTCGGATGTAAAGTTTCTGCTTGCAAACTGTGTTTTATAAGCACTTGCCCGGCTTAAGATCTCACCAGCATTCACATAGACTCTCACTTCATTGAGAGAGGTTAAAGTGTTTGCCTTTTATTAAGATGACTTGTTCCGTTTCCAGTGATATTTTTCCATTTCCTGCAAACCAGAGACCCTAGTTTCATAACAGCACCATCAGTCTACCACAAAAAAAGCAAACAAATCAAAACAAAAAGAGTTCCATGATGTGATATAGCATAAAGAAACAAATACAGCTAATATATTAGAGAAATAAACATTTACATAAAGTTATGTATGTTGCTACAAAACTGGCAGTATGCAATTAAAAGATAGATGAGATTACCATGTCTGCTAGATGTTTAAAGCAAGTCTGCTTAGGCTGCACCTACATTGTCATGCTGGTTTTAGGCATGACTTTGCACTCAGGATCTAGCTACCTCAATTATCCACACTACATGCAGTGGGCTTTCACACAACCTCCCCTATTCAGGTGTCTTGAGCTACCTGTCCAGACTCAAGCATCACTTGCAAAGCTGTAAAGATGTAGCCTATCGCCATCTCCTCCCTATGAATATGGCATTACAGGGCTCATCTGCATATGCCTGGTTAAGAAAGAGAACACAGTCAGCTGTGTACTATAACACCTTCAGTAACATGGAATCTTCGATTTTAGAAAAATATTTTAATTGTCAGTTCACAAGTAAAAACTATCACTATTACAAAACATCTTGTAATACTACAATACCTAGCTTGGAAATAATTTTGTTCTTATTGCTGTTGCATGTAGTTGTCAGAAGCTGTGTCAGCATGAAGGTATCAGTGGGCTTCCCACTTGTCATAGTCAGCTTGTAAGGGTACTCATAGGAAGATACACTTTCCTACTTAATCCTCACACAATTTTCACATGTTTTAGGCTGCCCTGACTTTTTTCAGACACGCATAATTGACACCTGACACTACATATCAAAATCTTTCCCAACTTAAATTGTTTCATATAACAAATTTAATTTGCAGCCTTTAGACAAAGAACATTCACTCCAAAAAAGTGAACACTATCACTGACACCACCTTAGCTACTTGAAAATCCTATTACTGTGTTCTGACAGCTATCAGATATTAACTCATTCATTTCATTTTGTTTGGTTTCTTCCTTATTCTCATGGTTGGGATGATGTTTTGGATTTCCAGCTTTTTTAGACCTTCTGAGGAAAAATTTTGTCAGTAAGTAACATAATTCAGCCACATTTAAAAGAATGCAAATACTGGACACAGCAATCATGAAAATAGTAAACACTGTCTTTTCAGTAGGTCGAGAAACAAAGCAGTCTACTGTGTTGGGGCAGGGCCAAGCATTACACTTCATTAAGCGAGGCATTCGGAACCCATCATACATGAAATAAAATGCATACATGAAGACTGCTTCAAAGACTAGTCTGAAGAAGATGCTGCTGGTGTAGGTCCACCACAAGGAGCCCTCAATATGAAACCTCTGTTTTCTGATTTCTTCAATGTCCTTGTATTCGCATTTCTGGTCTCCCTTTCTGAACTGCCTTTTCTTCTCATGCCTCCTGTAAGCTACATGCATGGCCACCAGCAGTGCAGGGGTAGAAACAAAGATCAGCTGCAGGGCCCAGAGTCTGATGTGAGAGATGGGGAAAAAGTGATCATAGCAAACATTCTTGCAACCAGGTTGCAGAGTGTTGCAGATAAAGTCATCTTGTTCATCTCCCCAGACTCTCTCTGCAGCCACAACCAGGATCATGAGACGGAATATGAACATGACTGTGAGCCATATCTTCCCTATGCTGGTGGAGTGCTTATTTACGCCTCCTAAAATGGTATGCAGGGCTCCCCAATCCATTGTCTTGTTTTAATCTTCTGACCTAAGACAAGACAAAGAAACAAAACTAAGATTAATCAAGATGGGAAACAAATACCATCAAGCACATGGTATAAAATAAATGCCGTATCATACAATTGCAGCATATCCATTGGCTGTGGCAACATTTTGTTGACACAGTGGGCTTACCTATAAGCAATGATAAATAATAATGTAATCATGCATCAGTAGGCAATATTTTATTACTTGATTACACACGGTATCACATTCATTCAACTTCTAGGTGTATTTGCCAACTGAAAACAGCCATTAGCCACATTAAGCAGGAAAAGCAGACGGGAAATTGACATAAACAGCCTTAAATTAAAAGCTACAACTTCTAGTAGTTTGATAACAGTAACAAAAGATAACATCAGCCAGAAGTAAGGTGTTACATTAAAAAATAAAGTCTTAGCTAGAATTCCTATATAAATTAAGTCAAGTTGTCCCATCCTTAGTTTTAGAGTGTAAACAACACTTTCACGAGTAATTCCAGCAATAAAGATAGGCCTTGAGAAACTGCTGCTGATGCATTCACAAATTCAAAGCAGGGCTCTGTATTGTTAGTTGAAGCACATTCCCCAATAGCTTGAGGCAGTAAAGGTGAAGTCTTAGTCATTATCAATCTCAACTAGGATGTTTAAAATCAGTGCTTGAAGATTCATCCCAAAATTGCATTTCTCACCACTAACTACAAAGAGAGCCTAGGGTAACTAGACAAAGGCTCCTTCATTGTCAGTGCCATCAGGCAATTCCCACCCCACTGCCCTGTAACACAGACTGCATTACTCCTAGAACTGGGGAGATATTTCATGTCTGGGAGAGCATTAAAGTCAACATTTGAAGAGTTCAGACACACAACCAGCAGTAGCTCAGACTTTTCAACAGAAGCATATAGTTTCTAGTAGGTGAGTTTCAAAGTACTATGACTGTAATGAATTAAAGGATTTCACCTTTGTCTCCCACATACCTCCCCAGGAACACCACAGTTGTCTGGGTAAGTGTAATCTCCTTTCACTGGTTCCATAAACTACATTTCCCTCAGATCATGCTGGGTGACTGTGTCAGGTTATACTTCAGGAGGTAAAAACCAAGCAGAGTACCCAAGACTTTCTTCAGATTGAAAAGAACCTTTCCTGACCCTTCTTCAGGAGGCAGAATTTATGTGGGCTATTACCTCTATCAGTCTGAAAACAGTCCTGGAAGCAGAGTTACCTTTCTAACCTGCTAGGTTATTTTTCCAAGAATAAAGTTTATATTTCATTAGCATATAGATATGGAGAAAGGCTCTGTAGGTTAACGACCCTATAGGGGCACAGGAAAGACCCTTAATACCATAAACACTTACAAAACATACTAACCAGACTTTCAAATATTTCTTTTCACCCCTTTCTTTGCCATTTGATTTTTCATTAGACCAGCCTTTCTTTCAGGATTTGCTTTGGAGATCCTTGTATGTTAAACACAGGAACAGTTACAACTTTATTAGTGGTTTTATTAGTGTTTGCTGTTACTATTACACACACATTGCAATTACAGTACTTACAAAGTGATACTACAACTAAGTATTATGACTAGAAACACGTATGCACCCCTGAATATAAATCCTGTAGAAGACTGGCACCATGTAATCAGTGGTATTACACACATCATTCACCCATCCTTTAATTCCACCAGACTCCTTGCATCTCTTCTCTCATTGTTCCTTCTTCTCCCTGCCTGTCAGCCATCTCCTTACAGTGTGAAAGGCTGAGAAGTGGAACCTGAGTATCCCCTCCTCTTAAGCCCCATTTCTTACACTTCACCTCTAGTTGTACACCAGTACTGTTGCCTTTCTGTTACCACAATTTCACAAGGATTTGTTTCCACATGCAATCACTCCTTCCTGTCCCCTATGCAGAACAGGATTCCAAATACAAGTCCCTCAAGGTAGTTAAAGGGTACCTCATCTTCAGTGGCAAAGTCAGCTCAAGATGCTTCCCCACCACTGTTTGCTCCCAAGGTCACACAGTTCACCTCCTGCAACTTCACGGGGGGTGCTTTATAAACCAGGTGACTTGTTCAAAAGTTATTCCCAGTTCTAGTAAGTTTTGGATTTTTTAAAACCAGATCCATTTCACCAATCTGCTTTACAGCACAGACCCACAAAGCATCTGAAAAGCACAACCTCATTTAAAAACCAGGCTGCAAATTGCAAATAGTGGGTAAGAATGAGCAGTCAGTGGGGAAGAGCATTTGGTAAAGCTTTATTGCTGAGGACAATACATTGTGAACTGTACTCCACCTGACTTGCTCCATCTCCTTTGAGAGTATATTGTGTTTGCTAATCCAAAACATGGTGCTTCATGCTAGCAAAAGCATGTCTGTACCTCAATCAATGCAGAAAAAGCCACCATACTTTGGAGAGGCAGCCTTTTGCCCCAAAGCTCCTAGTGACATCTCCTCTCCTTCCCAAAAAAGCCTTTGTCTTTCATATCTGCCCAAACCTTCCCTCCTTCACCATTCCCACCTACCTTTCCAAATCCTCCAATTCTCTCCTCTGCTCCTCCTGCCACCATCCCCTATTCTTCCTGCTGCTTACTGAGCTAGCCACCAACCTTTGCTCCTTCTTGCTGTACCTTCATGGTCTCTCAAGCACATTCTTATGCTGGTACAAAGTCATATGACTTCTGGGACACTCCAGAGACCGATATATGCACTGATCAGACACAGTAAAGTTTCACTTTCTTCTCCCTGAAGGGTGGCATAGTTAAGATTATAGGGCCATATTCAGGGAACCTGGATTTCATCCAAATACTCTGGCCCAGTGTTTCCTGCTAGCTGGCTTTAAACAGCTCTCATCAATGCAATTTAGAGGGTCTAATGAAGGTAATTCAGAGACTGCTGAAGTGCCCACCCATCTCCAATAAACAGAGTGACCCAAGCAGAATTTAAGTTAAGGCATCAGTGCAGATCACTCCAGCTAAACATCAGGTTTGGGCTATCTGTATTGATGTGATGGCTCATCTACTGCTAACTTACTCAAAAACTAGGATGTTGACTCATGATCATAGGTTATCTTTCATCCAGATACTTGCTTTTAAGACCTTTTTACTAGCAAGTAAAATATTAACTGTCTTGCTGACCAAAGAAGAAAGCAGAAAAGCTACTTCCCTTTAATGGGTGGTAACTCTTATTTTCATAGAGCTAGTCCAGATACTATTTCTCTGTGAGGAAATCCAGCTAAATGCCTACAGAAATAACAGTAGGTAGACAGTCAAGGACTTCGCTGCTTTGCTGGGTCTCAGAAGTACAGCACAGTACAAGAATAAGTTAAAGACATGAAAGCTTAGGGGAAATTTTTTGGTGAAAAAAGTAAAGTAGGAATGAGGATAAGGACTGGTTATAAAGGAAGAAGCTGGGAAGAACAGAAGGTAGCTGAAGTCAGTGAGGGTAAGTAACTGAGCATTTAGAACCCACTCTAACATGGGAGTGTATTATCTTTAAGTGTGAAATTTTCCTTAAAAAAATTGCAATACAGCATGCAAATAAGCCTTTCCAAGCCTCAGCACAGATCTGTTCTGCTGCCAGCTGAACCTTCCATTCCTTGAGGATAACTGTAGTATATATGGCTGTTACAGTAGGAGATACAAGCGATCATAAAAGATCACCACACTCCACTGAAAAGGGAAGTGGTTCTGTATGCTCACACAACATGTAGAGGCACAGAAGCAGGTGTTTTGTTTTAGTTTTGTTATTTTTTTCTTCTTCTGTTGGGGTTTTTTGTTGGGTTTTTTCTCCCCACTTAGTAGGCTAGACAGCAGCAAGACCACTACAGCTCAACCATTTCTGTAGTTCTCCAGCTTCTGGGCAGTGTTGTTTTGAACTGTCTGCCATGGCTAGGTTGCCTACTTTAAAGCCAGCTCCTCTAAGCCTACATTAAACCGCAACCACAGCAGGGTGCATACACCCAGTGAAAATCCCTGCAATTCACAACACTGAGGACAATTACCATTGGGCTCCTGTGTTTATGAGTACAGCTGGTACTTTTTTGACTCTGTTACTGGGGAAATAATTAGTCAATGGTTAAATCCACAGCTTCAGCAAACCACTGCTAGAACACAGTGAAGGTAAAACTAACAGAAGATACATTAATTTCACATACACAGCACAACACTTGCTGCTATTTTGCTATATTATCAAGCAAAAAAAGTAGTTGTTAGCAAGTGTTACAGTATTTGCTTATGCTATAGGAACATCTATAAATCCCAGTCAATCAAGAAGAGGTCCACAACATACTAACATAAATTCAGAGTAAGATTATAATCCTCTCCCCACAGCTACAAATTGGATACTAGTTTACTTATTCTACTGGAATAACACAAATGTGTAGAGGGTGTTCAGATGCCTCCACTCCTGTCAGAATTTTAGTGTAGGGTGTACCAAGAGCTATCGGGCCAGTATGACACTCCACCATTTTCAGTAGTGCCTCCAGACACTGCTAGAAGATCAGCAGTTTGCCAAGACAAGAGTCACTTTACCCTGTGTGAGAATGCATTAGCCAAGATAATCTTTAAGCAAAAACAGCACTGGTCCCTCCCTACCCCCCAAGCTGGGAACAAAGATAACTTGGACACCTGAGACTGGCATTCCAATGCAGCACATTTGCTGTAGAAAAGCTTTATAACATCCAAACTGCATCAGACCCAAGATCATTACCAAAATTATTTTATGACCCAACTTCACAAGAAGTAGTGCTGTATGTTGAGGTCCAGTATGCATTCAAAGGTGCTGCTGACACAACTTTCCCTTCAGGTATTGATCTAAACAGTTATGCTGGGAGCTCACATCGTACCAGCATCAAGGTCTCTTAGAGCTGTATGTGCTCTTTCACACCCAGATGAACACACAAATCTGGATTCCAGCAGTTTTATATCAGCATACATTCACTCTGCCAACCCGGGGTCTAGCTTATTGCTAAGCAAAACAGCAAGTACTTAATTGCTAGCGTGTAGATATTG